TTTCCCTTTTCCTGTAAAATTATCATTTTGGAGGTACAAGGTTTTGTTCTGACAACAGCGATATATACTTTTTTCATCCTGATTTATCGTATTTTCTAAACTGCTTATTTCTCCTGATCTACCCTCTTTTATTGGCTATCTATTAGAATGCCAGCCTTGCAGTGGGCAAAACCTGGTGGTCTTTACAGTGATAAACAGCTCTAGTTCACAGGAGCTTTCGGGAAGCTACGTCTGTATTATTAGACCTCACTGCTCTCTCCACTTTGATAGGTCAACATGCACAGCATCTCCAGTGGGAGAGGAAAGGGACAAAGAGCGGAACCGCTAACCGAACTGTAAAAATAGCCCCTATTATTCCAGCTACTGACAACCACGGACAACATATACACTCCACAAGAGAGCTCTAAGACTCAGCGCAGCACACATTCTGAAGAGAACTCGTCACTGAGGCTATTTTCTGGAAATCACCGGCCTTGCGTTTACGCTTTAGAGCGTAATGCTCACTTTCAAAACAAACAGAGAGTCTGGGGAAGGCAAAGCTGAAAGCGAGGAAACGAAACTAAAAAGGGAAGAAGTCAAAAAAACAAGGTCACCATCAAAAAACTTCTCAGAGCACAGCTGTGTGTTTATCTCAGTGAGCAGGTGTGAGTGTAGGTGTGCGTTTTGCGGATGAACAGGTCTGAACATGCTGTGCACCCTTGTCTTTTGCCCTGGCCAAACTGAGCTAGCAGAATAAGGTGCTGGAGGTATTGAAGAGGTATTGAAAGTATTAAAAAGAAGGTCTTATATCAGGCAGAGTGGGTAGAATCGAGCTGCAGTAGACTAAAACGAACAAAGACTTGGTCTGCTGAGGCAGCGCCGCGTCTTCTAGCTGGAAAATGCTGCTGTAAACGGTACAGCATGATGTCACGCTGGTCAGAAGACGCGATGTGGTTTGTCCTCCCCTGAGGCGAGTCGCTCTTGTGCCGAGGCATGTGGCCATTTGCTACCACTCACAGCGCAACGCCTGTGGTCTGACTGGCTGTGTTCGCTCAGTAAGGCACCTTCTAGGTCAGACCGCAGCGCTTTCCTCATTCAGACCCTCTCTTCCCGTCTCTCTCTTAGTTTCTCTTTGTCTCTCTCTCTCTCTGTAAACCCACTCTCTCTTCCCCCCGTCTCGCATGTTCTAGTTAAATATGCAGTGGGCGCAGCACATGGCAGGCATGAATATTCACCGTTTCTAATTTGTCTGTCCTGTGTGGTGCCGGGTGGCTCGTGGATATCAGACACACTCACAGCCCCACTGTTCTTCATCAGGTTTGGCACTGGGACTTTATTAAACCAGTCTTTTTGTAATGGTTCAGTAATCAGTGGATGAAAAGTAGAGCTTTAATTTTTTTTTGTCGTTTATTTAATTTTTAGCCAGACGTGAGAAAAAAAATCTTACTCCTTCTTCGTGTTTCAGCCGTCCCTGTTCATGAACAGCAGCTAAATCTAAGGCTTTATTCACACAGCAGGTAAAAGTGGCCCAAATCCAATCTTTTTCTACATATGTGAGACACGTTTCATTTTTGTGTCAGTGTGAACAGATAAACACATTGACTCGATTCGAGGCGTTTTCGTACGTGGTACTGAAATCCGTATCCAATATGCAGCAATGTCTGAACAGCCAGATCGGAATTCATGCGGCTTTTTTACGTCAACCCAACTTGACTATCATCATAATTTCGCGCTGCTGAGATCTCATAAACATCTGGGGTGATGTTCCTGTACAAAACATTAGAAGAGACTCATCCAAAACCCTCCGTTCTCGCAGAGATTTTGAAAGAAATGGTTTAAGAATCCGAGGACACGAACCAAAGAAGTGGTCATTTTCTATTTTTACCGTGAGCTTGAACACATTCTGGGTGACGAGCCCAACTGACAACCATTGGAAACTTAGGATGGCTCCTGTGACGCTGGTGAAGATGAAGCTGAACCTCCGGGAGCGACTGGCGTTCGTTGGCGGTCGTGATTGTTTACCTCTGGATGAGCCGTGAAGTGTCGCATACAGATCACATTTAAAAGATAATCTGAACAGCCAAACAAAAAAAATAGGATTTGGTGAGAAAATCAGATTTGGGCCACTTTTATCTGCTGTGTGAACGTCACCTAAGAAAACCATTTGCAAAACCTCAAGAGTCCTGAGAGAAAAAAAAACAGATATTCTGTTTCATTACATCCAATCAGTTCTTTTCAAGCCCAACATACCCTGATCAGGCATAACATTATGACCTCCTTGTTTCTACGCTCAATGTCCATTTTTGGTGGTGTGTTAGTGTGTGTTGTGCTGGTCTGAGTGGATCAGACACAGCAGTGCTGCTGGAGTTTTTAAACACCTCAGTGTCACTGCTGGACTGAGAATAGTCCACCAACCAAAAATATCCAGCCAACAGCGTCCTGTGACCACTGATGAAGGACTAGAGGATGACCAACACAAACTGTGCAGCAGCAGATGAGCTATCGTCTCTGACTTTACATCTATAAGGTGGACCGACAAGGTAGGAGTGTCTAATAGAGTGGACAGTGAGTGGACACAGTGTTTAAAAACTCCAGCAGCACTGCTGTGTCTGATCCTCGTAACAGCACAACACACACTAACACACCACCACCACATCAGTGTTACTGCATTGCTGAGAATGACCCACCACCCAAATAGTACCTGCTCTGTAAGGGTCCATGGGGGTCCTGACCACTGAAGAACAGGGTAAAAGGGGGCTAACAAAGTATCAGAGAAACAGATGGACTACAGTCTGTAACTGTAGAACTACAAAGTGCACCTATATAGTAAGAGGAGCTGATAAAATGGACAATGAGCTCAGAAACAATTAAATCATGCCTTTCTGCATTACAGTTGCTGAGACATACAGTTCTCTGACCCTGCCTGATCGGTCACACTATTACGTAAGACTACACAGTCAGAGAGACACACATGTCCACAGAGATTCTTCACGCTCAGTAGAAGGAAAACAGACAGACTCACAATCTGTAACCGAATCCACTGGGCACACTTTTACAACAACAGCCTGACCTAGATATGCTGCATTATTGATCAAATGCTAGGAAAACCAAAGGAGGAGGGTGATTATGCAAAGAGCAGGCGCTTAAAAAAATTAAATGAAACAAGACCAGAGAAGCTAGCTTGGCCAAATCGGGAGTGAAACCAGTGAGAAACGTTAGCTTCAATAAATGCCAATCAGCAACATCCCAAAGAAGTATACGCCAATCAGCTAGCTGACTGGGAATGTTTATTCCCGTGGTTCAAAATCCCTTTACAACGGAAGACAAGGCTCAAAGTGAAAGCTGCAGCTGAGGTAGGAGAGACTTTGTTTGCACATGCATAGAAAAGCTCCTCTTCAGCACTTACTAGGGATGTGTATTCTGACTAATTTTGACATTCAACTAGGCCCGAACGATTTGGGGACAATATCTAGTTGCGATTTTTCCAACTAATCTTGCAACTACAATTTAAATTGTGATTTTTTTCATAAATTGAGATTCAGACTTGAATTAACTTGGCCAAGACGACCAGAATATCCGTATTTTTTGGCTTGAGGCTCGACGAACGCAGTGTGCCAAACCGCCAGTAAGTTGTGGTTTGGTTGCCTCTGCTTGGTCTCACCTTCAGGCATTTCCCAAACTCTTATTAGGTTCAGTTTCCCCTCTTAAAACGTTTTTGCTAATGTACACACTTAAAAAGGATGGTTCTTTAGTAAAGACAATGGCTCTATATAGAACCATAAACACTCAATGACTCATCTGCATGCTTGAAAAGTGCTTTGCATGGTGAAATGGTCCAACAATCTGAAGAATCATTTTACCATGCAAGAACCTTTTAAGCATGCAAACGGGTCATTGAGTGTTTATGGTTCTATATAGAACAATAGTCTTTACTGATGAACCATCTTTGTTAAGAACCTTGAAGAACTTTTTTTTGTATGTAGGCTGTACTTTAAAAAAAAAATGGCAGCTCTTGCAATTTGAAAATTACACCGTTTTAAAGTGTGATTTTGATGTAAAAACGATCAATTTTTCAGCCCTATGTTCAAGTATCTGCAAGAGTTAATGAGCGTACATCCAGTTAACTGCTAGTCAGGGTCACTAATGAGAAAAAAATTATGAGGAGGAAAATCTGTCCACACAGTTTAGTAATCTGTATCACATTCAGACATCCAGGTGCAGGTTTCTTTACTTTAAACAATTTACAGACCACTTCTCTTCCTTTCTCAATGACATGGAACTCATTCTCACAATTAAAGGTCTAATTTTCATAATTCAGTACAGACTGTGATTTAAAACAAGCACTACCTGACATTTCAATGCGTTTCATTAATTCACAGGATGAAGACTTTGTTGCTCATTTAAGCTGAAACTGGTACTCCAGAGGAATCGACTCCCTTCGCTTGAAATTTATATTGATAAACTGTGCTGAAACAAAATTTTAGCTGCTTAAGTAAGAAATCCGTACCAACACGGTCAATTGTTAAAACAAAAAAAACTCCTAAATCAAGCAGCAGACCTAAAAGTAAAGCAACAAGTTCCTTTGGCAAATCAATCTGCACACTGTACAAACATCAATTTCTTGTCAGAGCAGTGCATTTTGTGTGAGCTTGATGGCCACACGACTCTCAAAGTGCTCATGCAGGAGTAAAGAAACCTGTGAGACAAATGAAACATGCAGCCCAAACGTCATGTCAGAAAAACGCAGCCGCTCTAATAAACCGTTCAATCGTTACATGCAAAAGTGGCACTTCAAACAGTTGTGCTGTGCTTTTAAGTGGTACATCAAGCCAGGAAACTGCAGGCTTGGTGACTAAAAAGTAGCTGATGGAAAACACAAAGTGCTTCTGCTCTTTCAATTCAGACGCAATTATCTGAGCTAAGGTGCAGGACGGCTACATAAATAATAACCATTTTGCCATTTCCAGTCTCAATGCTGTCATTTCAACACCAACCTAACTTGATGAGAAACACACACTCACCCTCTATGCTCAGCTCAAAGCAGACATGGCAGAAAGACAGCGTCCCGGTGTCTGTCTCCAGCTTACAGATGCTGCAGATGTTGTCATCATTCAGGTCTATGTTTACAAATTGCTCCTCTTCGTCCATTTTACCTGTACAAAAGAAGCAGAAAAAAATAAGTCCTCTCAGCTTTGGGGTGCATATCTTCGTGTATCTGAATTACAAAGGAAAATACCTACAGGCAATATTCACTATTCACTTAAAAAATACACCATACCTGTGCGTGACCAAACTATAACACCAAGGCCCAGTCCCATTTCTTCTTTTTACCCCTACCCCTTGTTTTCGAGTGTCACCTTAACCCCATGGAACTGAGTTACAGGGTAGTGGTTCAAATCTTCCCTCTGAAATGGGACCCTCAAATAAAGAGAGCGTCACTTCATTAACAGCTACCAGCGCTGCTCTGTAGGCGACCCTGCCAGTCTGCAGTGACAGCAGAGGAGGGTAAAGTTCAGCTCCTCACTGCTGGGCTTTAGTTACATTTAGGGATCATATGCCTTCAAAGAGGGGGGCAATTATTTATTATCACCCACTCCTAATTCTTCAGTGATATGAAGCTGAAGTCAGATATTCACCAGATTCTTGTTCGAATTTACCTATTCCACCTTAATTGGTGCAACAGTTACATTCTGGCGCTTCAGGCGTCAGAACTGCTGGACTATTTAAGGTGGAACGGGAAAGTTAGCTGGCTAACTACCAAGACATTAGCATGCCATTAGCGATTTTTATGCTTGTTATGAAGAAAAACTAAGATAAAACAGTGGTTATCGACATTTTTAATGGAGAAAATTCTCACATTTGTGCGTTTCTTTAGTCTCTTGTTCAGCCGTCTTGCTGGTTTTTCATTTTTCCTCATAACTCTCTGTTTGAAGTCTCTGAAAAACCTCCGTTTGGAGGGTCATGTAGCCCCAACACTTCACCCTACCCCTCTATCTCAGCAAGAATTAGGACACCCTACCCCTAGACGTGAACGCGCAAAACAGAGGCTCAGTGGTATGGGCGAGGGGTGAAATGGGACTGGGCCCAAATCTTACTAAACAGAAAGGTCTCGGTCTCTAACTGGCGTAATATCATGTTATGGTTGATTCTTTTCACTTGCGTTCTGACCGAGGTTGTCAGGACAGGAAGAAACACGACAGAACATGTTTACTGCAAGTTTCACAAAAGTCCCATTCATGAAGAACTCAGGGCAGAGAGGGAGCTAGCAAGGTCACTGCTGTTTATATGGGTAAACCACTTAGACTCAGCAAACATGCCTGAAGTTATCCTGTCTGGGACATCACAACATGAGTTGCCGGGTTTATCTCTGTATTAAGACAAACATGTTTTAGGCAAATTAACTTCATCAATGCTGAAAGTGCAATAGCCTACCAGCCTACACAACACTAAAACCCTATACGTATTATGTAGTATACACACACATTATACACAAACACAATGTATGTATGTATGTATGTATGATGTATATATATATATATGTACACGTATATATAAAGTCTTTTCATCTTCACACTGACAGACAAAGCTCACAGGGCACGAACCAACTCTAAACACCAAACAGGACCACATTCAGGTGCAGGTTTCTTTACTTTAAACAACTTACAGACCACTTCTCTTCCTTTCTCAATGTCACTGAACTCATTCTTACAATTAAAAAGGTCTAATTTTCATAAATCAGTATATGTACTACAAATCAAATGCAAATAAAATGCCCAGTTCCGTGACTGTGATTTAAAACAAGCACTACCTTACAAATTTCAATGCGCTTCATTAATTCACAGGAGGAAGATTTTGTTGCTCATTTAAGCTGAAACTGGTACTCCAGAAGAATCAACTCCCTGTGCTTGAAATGTATATTAATAAGCCTGAGCTGAACAAAGCTCTAGCTGCTTAGGTAAGAAATCAGTTATCAACACAAAATCTCAAACTAGCTCTGTCTGGAAGAAGACAGAAAAGCCAGCACAGCACATGTTACATTTGAAGTCATCATGGATGTAAAGCGAACATGTCAAACAAACCATAAACTTCACGTGTTTATGAAACTCTTAAACCCTTAATTACGAACCCTACGTTGTTAAAAAGGCACAAAAATGACATTTCGTGTGGACGAGCGGATAAAACCAGGAATTAGGCATCGGTCTATTTTTACACCAATTTGTGGCCAATTTGTACTCCGTCAAAAATAGACAGGGATCGAAGGAGAGACTCCAAGTAGCTCTAAGAAGAAGATCGTTTTTAACCTGACTGACATGCCTGAATAATGCTGATCACAATTATCAAATCACAAACTCCTTTAAAATGTGACAGCTATCTTGGTTTGGCTGGTCAGCAAGCTAAGAAAACGTAAAATAGATTCTCAGCTATTTAGGTCAGGGAAAACAGACATTACCATATTTACAAGAGTTAATGAGCGTACATCCAGTTAACTGCTAGTCAGGGCCACTAATGAGAAAAAAAATCATGAGGAGGAAAATCTGTCTGCACAGTTTAGTAATCTGTATTGGTTTATAAACCGTACTCTCGGTTAGCAAAACTGTATATATATATATATATATATATATATATATATATATATATACATATACACACACACACACATACACACACATGTACAGGGCAAGAACCAACTCTAAATACCACACAGAACCACATTCAGACATCCAGGTGCAGGTTTCTTTACTTTAAACAATTTACAGGCCACTTCTCTTCCTTTCTCAATGACATGGAACTCATTCTTACAATTAAAAGGTCTAATTTTCATAATTCAGTACAGACTGTGATTTAAAACAAGCACTACCTGACATTTCAATGCGCTTCATTAATTCACAGGATGAAGATTTTGCTGCTCATTTAAGCTGAAACTGGTACTCCAGAGGAATCGACTCCCTTCGCTTGAAATTTATATTGATAAAGTGTGCTGAAACAAAATTTTAGCTGCTTAAGTAAGAAATCCGTACCAACACGGTCAATTGTTAAAACAAACAAAAACCTCCTAAATCAAGCAGCAGACCTAAAAGTAAAGCAACAAGTTCCTTTGGCAAATCAATCTGCACACTGTACAAACATCAATTTCTTGTCAGAGCAGTGCATTTTGTGTGAGCTTGATGGCCACACGACTCTCAAAGTGCTCATGCAGGAGTAAAGAAACCTGTGAGACAAATGAAACATGCAGCCCAAACGTCATGTCAGGAAAAAAACGCACAAAAATGACATTTCGTGTGGACGAGCGGATAAAACCAGGAATTAGGCATCGGTCTATTTTTACACGGTGGCCAATATGCACTCCGTTAAAAATAGACAGGGATCGAAGGAGAGACTCCAAGTAGCTCTAAGAAGAAGATCGTTTTAACGTGACTGACATGCCTGAATAATGCTGATCACCATTATTAATCACAAACTCCTTTAAAATGTGACGGCTATCTTGGTTTGGCTGGTCAGCAAGCTAACAAACCTAAAACAGATTCTCAGTAGAAAAACCTTAACGCTGCGCTAAGCTAACCTTACAACTTGCGGTTGAAGGACAATGCTAGCAACTAGTTGGTCAACCTAACGTAGCTAACGCCAGAAAACCTCTTCATGATCCGAGATGTGAGTAAGGTACACATCTAGAAACATCTGTCTTTGTCCAGAAGGCTAACCAGGCATCAAACGCCGCTCTAAAGGCTATTTTAGCTGGTTAACACCGCGGTTTTCTGGCTCGTTAAAGCGGCTTCTGCTCGCTAGCAAGCGCCGCTTCACCCACACGGAGCTGCTCGACCGTGACCGTTATCTGCCGAAACTAACCAGCGTTTACGTCAAAAACAGTCACTCCTGAATACTTTTAGGCCAGAAACACATCGCCAGGATGGCCAGGGAAAACAGACATTACCGTATTTACCGCTGTCAACGAGGTTCTGGAGACAAACTGAGATAAACCGTATCACGAAGCTCCCTCCGAGCCCCCACGCGCTTGGATGGGCGACGGTATTGTTATTGAAGAGCAGCAGCTACAAGTCCTCTCTCGGAATGTACCATTATCACTCACATACGGGGGGAGGTTAGAAACAAAACACGAATTACTTTCTGAACACAGGCTCTTCAAGTATGAAGGACCTCAACGTGCCTTACTACACTTGTATTCGAAATGAATATGTATAAAAAAATGAATATGTACTGACAAATATTAAGAAAAACACCCACACGCTCACACTCACGTGTACACAATGTGAGGTTCTCAGACGATGTTAAGGTTGGCAAACTCTCTCACACACTCACAACATATGCCAAAGTTATAGATATGTCGTTTTGTTAGAATCCCGAAATGTGTTTTCTGTTTCTGTTTTAAGACACCTCTGGGTTGGTGTTTTAATTGGAGGTGGTACAGTCCACACTTGATCCGTGCTCCGTGAACGTGACGGTAATGTGTCACGTTCACCGCTACATGTCCAATATTTTACCACTTCTCGCACATATCACTGTTATAAATAGTGAAAAGTGTAATAAACATCCCTTATTGGCTCATTTATCGTGGCTAAGACTTTAATGGTTCGGTGGGGAATTCCGGAGGGGAACTTCTCCTCCGGGCGGCCCATTGCGTCACAGCCTTTCCATGGAGAGACCAATCCTGGACACACAGTCTGTCCTTCCACGTTTGGGTTATTTGTGTACATTCCACCGTGCACTACACCTGCACTATTACTCGAAGTTTGTCATGTAAACAGTCCACCAGTAAATCAGTCCAGATGTTGTTACAGAAGCAGCTTTTATCACGTGACAGTTCGCCCAATATCAACGGAGGGCTGGACGATTAATCGAATTTTATTTTCAGTGACGATTTTGGCTTCCGACGATTATGAAAACGAGATAATCGAGATTAAACGAGTATTCTGTTTCGGAATGATGCTCTCATTTTGTCTTGTATTATAAATCCAGCACTAACTGTGGTTGTAATTTTATTCATGTGTCTTTTCTACATGTAATATTTATTTGTTTTTCAGTTTGATTATCCTTAAAGTCCAAAGAAATCCACTGTTTAAAAAGATACATTTTAAAAGGTTCAATAAATGTATGATATTTCAGAAGTTGATGAGTAATCGTGTTAAATATCTCAGTATTGACCAAAATAATGGTAGTTAGGTTCTGAGTCTCATGAAGCTTCACCTGCTGGAGTTCAAGTGAAACAAAAATCACCACCATCAGCAACCAGAGTTAAACTGAGCAATCAGAAACTGAACCTGGCTTTGTTTGGTTCTTTGATTATGAGTGTCTTTTTATATTGCATATGAATTTTAAACGTGTTCAGTTGCTGGAAATGTTGGCTCTTCCACTCTCAGGGCAAGTTAAGTACAGATAATGAGAATATGCGGCTATACTGTGAGAAAAAGGCCAAAAGAAGGGTTTAACTGAAGATTGGCTACACTTTTCTTGGCTTAGTGCTTTCCTGAACAGGACCAGTGGGGCTGGAGCGCCTCCCTCTGGTGCGACTGTGTAACTGCTTATGGTTGCTTTCAAGGGGAATTTTTCTACATTTCTGCATAATTCAGTGGCTGAGATGGAAACAGACTCATTCAGAGTGGTTTAGCGTGAAGTGACTTATGGAGAAACATTCTGACTCATATTTCATTACTGTGGTGCTGATAAGAACCAGGGTTCTCAATATCTACAGCACAAATAAAGACGTTTTATATTTTTCCAAAACTACCAGTGAACACGTCCTTTGACTTCTTATGTTGAAAAATAGTGGTAAATTGGAAAAGATCACATTTCTTTAATAATAATAATAATAATAATATATTGCCCATAACACCCTGCATGTGCCTCTCCGCTTTGAATTGTTTAATAAAAAATACATTTTATACTATAATCTTCTCAAAACTATTGTAAAACAACGTCTCAGGCATCAGGCAGTGAATTCATAACCATTTTGTGTAATAACTTTCTGTGAAGGAGATTTCAGAGGCATTAAATTCTTCAGATGTTTGGTTCCTATCACCACCCCTGTGAACAGTTCCGGCAGTTTCTCCAGAACAGAGCATTTCACATCAGACCACTCTGAATGACTTTGTTTACATCTGAGGTATTGAATTATGCAGAAATATTGAAAATCAGTGGAATTCCCCTTTATTTTTACACCTCCGTAAACACAGCTGTATCAATCCTTGTCCAAAACTGAGTGAAATGAGACAGTAAGGTAATTAATCACTAAATTCTAATACACCAAACACATTTTGAAAGGCCAGTATGAGAGAGTAGAAAACACATCTTCTTAAATGTTATTTAAGATTTTGTGTAACTACATTTTTGTTTTTTTCCTAAAGCATCCAGCACAGCTTAAAAGCCTCATAATTATAGACAGATGTGTGACAAATTAAAGGAAAACCAGGTGTCTTAGTAAGATGTTTGGGCTTTACAAACTACCCAAACAACTTCAGTACACCTTGGCACAGATTCTACAAGCCTGTGGAACTGAACTGAAGGGATGGAACACCATTCTTAGGCCCGATTCACACATGGGCAACACGGAAAGTCACGCTGATCATTTTGGCGCCCATGTTAAGTGGTCAGCACTTTCATACAGGAAAGCGAAGCGGCAGAGTGTCCCAGACGCCGCACTAAAGCGGCGCGGTATTTAGAAAATAGACCCGGCACTGATTTTTCCCCGCACCATGTGCGTCACGAAACAAACTATACTAAATAATTAAAATTAAACAGAAAACCGTATACAAACTGGAAAACACTATTTAATTCATGATAAAATACTACTGAAACGTTCTGTGCTGCAGACAGATTTCCCGGTTTGTCTACCAGGCTTGAAACTTCTGCCTAATCACAAATCAGAATGCTGTCGAGGATAAACAAACATACTGTGTGCATTTATAAACGAAATGTTTGGGGAGCAGAGTGACTGATGTGACCATTTATCTGTCTGAAAACACAAATGTCTGTATCTTTCTCGCTGCTCCACAGCACAAACGCTGTATGTATGGAAGGCCAGCGCGTTCCAGCTGTAGCACTTGCGCTGCCACTTCACTCGCACCATGCAGAGGCAGCACGTGTGAATAAGGCCTTACACAGAATATATCCCTCCATTGGTGTTTTGATAATGGCAGTGAAGCGCACTGTCTAACACAGTAGTTCAAAATCTCTTGCACTGGGTTGAGATATGGTGACTAAGAAGGTCATAGCATAGGATTCATAGCATAGGATGAGAACAACTCTAAATGGGACTCAGGAGGCTTGTGAGAAACTAAGCATATTGTATTATGTCTGTTTATTGATCTGAGAAACTGACATTGAACAGTACAGAGGCACTCAAAGAAGCTGACTTGTGTTCTCTGACGAAGCTAAAGTCAGCTCCTTACTAGCTTCTTGTTCAGATTTTCACGTTCCACCTTAAATGGTGTGGCAGTTAAGGTGGATCGGGCCTTCAAATAAGAAGCTGGGGAATGGGAAGCTGATTTCTGATACGAAACAACATTCCCATATAAGTAAAACATTGCATGACCACACCTTACTAACGTGTGGAAACGAGATCCTAATGCATGGCCTGACTTAGTTAGGCATGGGAACAAGCGGGACTCTGTACAAACGTTAGCTACAGATGTCCTGAGGTAAGCTGGCATTACTCCACCTAACCACGAAAAACTAACAGATCTCCCCAGTAACGTTGTGTCCTGTGATGGTTTTATTTATCTCCTGTTTTGGTGCCATTTTGCTGAAATGAGATGGCAAAGCAATCTACGTTAAGGTTAACGCTGAGAAAATTTAAGGCCCAGTCCCATTTCACCCCTCGTCCCTTCCACTTACCCCTTAGCCCTCTGTTTTGCGCGTTCATGTCAAGGGGTAGGGTGTCCCGATTCTTGTTGAGATAGAGGGGTAGGGTCAAGTGTTAGAGCTACATGACCCTCCAAACGGAGGTTTTTCAGAGACTCCAAACAGAGAGTTATGAGAAGAAAAGAAAAACCAGCAAGATGGCTGAACAAGAGACCACTGTCTTAGTTTAATGTCGTTTCAGTGTATTTTGGTCGTTTTCTTCATAACAAGCATAAAAAATCACTAATAGCATGCTAATGTCTTGGTAGCTAGCTATAGCTGACTTTCCCATTCCACCTTAAATAGTCCAGCAGTTCTGATGCCTGAAGCGCCAGAATGTAACTGCTGCTCTATTTAAGGTGGAACAGGAAAATTCGAACAAGAATCTGGTGAATATCTGACTTCAGCTTCATATCACTGAAGAATTAGGGGTGGTGATAATAAATAATTGCCCCCCTCTTTGAAGATCATATGATGCCCTAAATGTAACTAAAGCTCAGCAGTGAGGAGCTGAACTTTACCCTCCTCTGCTGTCACTGCAGACTGGCAGGGTCGCCTACAGAGCAGCGCTGGTAGCTGTTAATGAAGTGATGCTCTTTTTATTTGAGGGTCCCATTTCAGAGGGAAGATTTCAACCACTACCCTAGGATTAGGATGACACTCGATAACAAGGGGTAGGGGTCAAAAGAAGAAATGGGAGTTTCAAGACTGAGACAAGACTGATGTTAATGTTAGACAGTGAGGCTGCGGCCCGAACAGCACACTCTGGAGCTTAACATACTTAAACTACTACTAGCACTTCTAACGGTGTGTATTATTCTTTTACATACTACTTAGTGTGGCACTACGCAGTTTGGGACGGAGCCAGAGGCTAACATTACCTGACATTTCAGAGTGTTTTTGGATCACTTGAGCACAGTTAGCTAACCCAAGCTCTACTAGTACTGTAACAAGAAGTTATACTCAAGGTGGCTTCATAGCTATAATTAGCTGTCGTTGCTATTCGTTGTGCTTTGTTACCGACCATAAGTTCAAAGCTAGTGAAAGCTAACCTCGCTAACAACCAGGTGCTAACAAGGAGGTGAAAGGTGAGGCCTGTGAAGTTGGTGATACAACGATATTCAAACATAGCGCGATTTTTTTAGGCAAAAGCTCTTTATTTTTGAACAGGCACCTCAACAAAGGCTAAAAGAAGGCCCAGCACCA